ACCACTGCCTCTTTTATTTTTAACTCCCCAGCAAACAGTAATTAGTCCCTTCTGCCGGATGGCTTTGAGTGCATCAGATTTGCTGCACCAGCCGTTCAGTGCATTGTTTTGGGCGCTCATTGTCCTCGGTGCCTATTAGCACCATGGAAGCGATTAAACTACTGGGGATGCTGCATAACCAGAGGGAACTGATCCAGTGAGATCCACTGGGAGATCGCTGGCGGAAACCAAAGTGGCTGGTGAGATCTAGACATAGGGTAGTTACCCAGTCCTGACTGTACTGTTAAATGTTCCTATTGGCTAGATCCTCTGTCCAGGAACGGGCCCTCATTCTAGTTCCTGCATACACACGTGCAGTGAATCGAATCCTGGGATGCATAAATATCCAACGGGAATCTTCCGAAGGAGCAGGGGATGTTTTATTGTTAGTCATTTGCAACCTCAGCATGTACCCTGTGTCCAGATCGGAGGCCCGCAATTCGGGAAGGATGTTGATCCATTGGAGAGGGTTCAGAGACAAGCCAGGAGAACGGCTGTAGTATTAGAAAACACGGTGTATAGTGGTAGATTCAAGGCGCTCAATCTACGTAGCTTAACAAAGAGAAGGTTAAGGGGTGACTTGGTCAGTTTATAAGGGCTTGTCTACCCTGCCACTTAAGGGTACGTCTAAACTACATGGCTCAGTCGACGGAGCCATGTAGATTAGTGTACTCGAAAAAGGGAAATGAAGCGGCGATTTAAATAATCCACTCCATCGACGGAACCATAGAGATGAGGTTTCTAGACATAGTGAAATGAAGCGGCGATTTAAATAATCGCCGCTTCATTTACATCAAAATGGCCGCCACGCTGTGCCGATCAGCTGTTTGGCGGCACAGTGCGGTAATCTGGATGCTCCCCAGTTGACAAGGGAAGCCCTTGTCGACCGCCCCATTATGCCTTGTGGACCGGGGAGCATCCAGACTCCCGCGCTGTGCTGCCAAACAGTTGATCGGCACAGTGCGGCGGCCATTTTGATGTAAATGAAACAGTGATTATTTAAATCGCCGCTTCATTTCCCTATGTCTAGAAACCTCATCTACATGGCTCCGTTGACGGAGCCATGTAGTCTAGACATACCCTTACTGTGCTATGAAAACACCCCACATCCACCCCAAGTGCAGCAAGTGAGCGCTCTAAAAGACGGAGCCATGTAGTCTAGACATACCCTTACTGTGCTATGAAAACACCCCACATCCACCCCAAGTGCAGCAAGTGATAGCGCTCTAAAGCACCAAGCTTCTGGCAGTCAGTTATTCCCTTCGTGGAGGCGGCTTACCTACAGCGCTAGGAGAGCGCTCCCCCCCAGCGCTGATGCCGGGACCCCACTGCTGTGTTACAGCCCTGCAGCAGCAGCGCATTAAACTTAGCTGCGGGAGCCTAAGTAACTGGGCAGGGAACACATAGCTGATAATGGGCTCTTCAGTCTAGCTGAGGAAGGTGTAACAGGATCCAAAGCCAGACGGAGGCTGATTTGTCCTTTCCCAGTGAAGGTCGTTAACCATCAGGACAAGTTACAGGTTCTGGGACAGTCTCCCTGGCTGGAGATTTTTAACACCAAGGTTGGATTTTTTGGAATCAGATTTGCCACGGAAAGGTTGCAGCCGATTGGTCGGCTTGGGGTAAAGTTTTCCAAAGCGCCTCATTCCCCATTTTCAGAAGCGCCCTGGGGGTTTAGGCGCGGAAGTGGCAGCGACAGTCAGGGAGCGGTAAACACCCAACTGACTCGGAGCCTGTCTGCGCGGCCAGCCTGGGTGTGAAGCTGCCGCACGGTAGCTTGCGGGGCACAAACGCTTCTGCAGGGCACGGTGCTATCGTCCCGTTGGGAGCGGAGGCTGAGTTACGTCATTCTGAATTGGTTTTTTTACCCTTTACAGTTCAGAGCTTATTGTTTTAAGGTCTGAATGATGCATTGTGCGTGTCTCCTTAGACTTCCTGGAGGAATTCAGAAGCCCTGCCTCCACGGCACCTTTTTAAACAACTCCCGTTGCTTTCCAGAGCCAGACTTCCCTCTGCCCAGGGCCAAGCCCAGAACCTGACTGCAAGGGCATGTCTACACTGCAATAAAGTACCCGAGCGCAGGCCTGAGGTCAATAACATTGCAGCCGAGACATTCAGCCCCCCTCCCGTCTCAGAGCCCAGCATCCAGCCCCAACCCCGATCTCTACTTTGCTATTTTTAGCCCCCGCAGCCCAAGCCAGAGTCAGCTGCTCTGAGACCGGAGGGGGCTAGACGGACCCGCAGTTCCGGGTAAAGCTGAATCTTGTAACCTGTGCTGTAAGCCTAACCTACGAGTTAAGCCTTGTGCGTGAAGACCCAGTGTAAATCAATTGCCACCTCACCTGGAAATGAGTCATTGGTTGTACTGGACAAAATCCTTCCTACTCTCTTCGCTGGGCTGCAGGCTGACCCGGCTGGAGGAGCCAAGGCCAAGTGCCTGTGTGCAGCGTATGAGGTGGAGTCGGGAGGTGATCTACACTGGGTGAGAATAGAGGGGATAGAGTCCATGACATGCACTGGGGACTTCCCTGTTGCTGGGATGGTACGCGGGAGGCCCTCAGATGCTTGGGTGATGGGCAGCAGCGTAAAACCCTTAGCTAGGCAGAGATGGGCCTAGCCCCGCAATCTGAATTGCAGAGCTCGGCAGAGCTGCCGAGTTGCAGACTGAAAGGGTGGTGGCTTCCCCACCTGATCCGTAGGGTCCCTGCTAAGGCGGGTGGGGTGGTGAGCACAGCCTGCCACGGACGCAACAGGAAGTGCGGTCCCTGCCGACGGTCCCCCTGAAAGGACGCAGGGAACGTCTGCCCTTGGAGCCGGTGGGCTGATCCCCAGCTTCCGGGAGCGTTCGGAGCCTGCTCGGGCGCTAGCAATGGACCGGAGCTGCACGGGCGAGCGTGTGCTCAGTCACTCCTGGCGCTGCTGCTCACTGGGAGCTGGGACTCGTGCCCCTGCCCAGGTGTAGAGACACAGGAGAGGCCTGCAGTGCTGGAGAAGGGGCTGCAGCTGTTGGATGCTTGTGGTTTGGGGCAGCGGGTACTGAAACCAGAGAGGGGAGGAGGGGCGTGCGCCGTGGTGCGCGGCTCCGGCAAGAGCTGGCTGAGCTGCGGCAAAAGCCAGCAGGGAGCAGTTTAAAGAGCTGACGGGGACCTGGCTTGCAATAGGCCAGTCCCCGTAGGAAATGTTCAGTTACTCTCACCGCTGACTAAAACCCCGGTGTCCGGCGTGGAGGGTCTACAGCAGGGGTGGGCAAAAGAGCCTTCACGGGCTGGATCCGGTCGATCTGGCCCACGGAAGCCCTAGCGCTCCCCACCTAGGGCCTGCGAGCGGGGAGAAGTGCATGAAGTTTCCTCTGCCGTGTCCCCACCCTGCGAGGAGCTGGGGGCAGAAGGGGGAGCCTGCGAAGTCTCCTCCCGCCGCCAGGGACATGGGCACCTAGAGCGATCCTCTGCAGCGGGTGGGAGCGGAGGGGGGGCAAAGGTGCTCACCCACCCCCAGACCAATCATGGTCTGCGGGTGGGGAAACAGGGAAGGATCCTGGCCCCACCCCTTCTGCTTGAAGCTCCACCCTCACTGCTTGAGTATATTGGTCCCGCCCCTTCCTGTGCAGCCCCAAGCCATTTAAAAAATTTCTGAAGTGGCTCCAGGCAAAAAATTCTTGCCTACCCCTGGTCTAAAGAGACACCTCAGAAATAAGAGGCAGTGAGCGATCAACAGTCGTCCCCTGCTGTACAGCCGCTGATGTGGTGGGTGCGTTGCAACGAGAGTGACTCGTTCTAAGCAAGAAATTGGGTTCACCTGGGACCTTCCGAGCAAGCTGGCAGCCTGCACGGATTGAGGCCATTGGGATGCTGGGCTAGAGAGCGCTTGAATTTGTCCTTTCTCTGGCTCCGGGTCCTTGGATCTAGTAAACGGGCTCCCTGCGTTTGCATGCGTGAGCCTGCCCTTGTCTCCGTGGCTCGCTCCCATGCCTGGCTCCACGGGATGCCGGGTGCTGCGTTGGAGCCTGCTCCTGCTGCTGCTTGGCCCTGTTGTTTCTAGTTCACCGGAATGTTTATCTTCTTGGAAAGGAATCCGATTCGCCTCGTCTCCTCCCGCATGCAGCCTGCCAGCCCCTGGGAGGCAGCATCTCACGGAGCAAGGACACGGGGCGTTCCCTTCTCTGCTGTCACAGGGGCATGAGCAGGTGGGGGGGGACCTGGGCGACGGGAGAGGGTGAGGGTGAGTAACTTCAACCGGGCTGATGCGTACGGTCAGTTCCTATCGGAATTGTGAATTCCTGCAGCACTCCGAATGCAGAAGTGCTCCGTGGCAACTAGGGTTGTAAAATCCTGTTTAATTGGTCAATCCCGCCATGGCCATCTGGAGGCTTCTCCCCTCCCCCAAGTACAGCTTGCGAAGCACTCCCCTCCCCCATAGCTCGTAAGCCGTCCCCGCACCCTGAAAAATGGCCCCCTGCTCTCTGTGCTGACCTGGGTGTCAGCTGGTGGGAGCCTAATGTGGCCAAAAAGCCTCTTAAAGGGGCAGAGCTTTTCTTTTTTTCTTTCTTTTTTTTTGCACGACCAAACACAATTGGGGGCTCCTTTTAAAGGAGCAAAAGGGGCAGGTTTTTTGCTTGACAACTTTGCCCCAGCTCTTCACACTGGATCCAGTGCTATCTTGGCTCTTTGTCCAGAATGGATTGGCCACCCCTGGGTTAATCGGGTAAACCCTGGGGTAAGTGGGTGGGCTGTCCCAGCACACCTGGACTGGAGCAGCCCCCCACCACAGATGTGATAGAGTGCTTTCCCTCCTCCCCCCATTACAGACGGGGGCTGCTCCGGCAGGGCTGTAACACCCCTGCCCATGGTGGGCCGTGTGGGGTGTGGGGAGGCTGCGCCAGCCCCACTGGTTGGAGACTTACTGGGTAACGGGTTAACCAGTGGCCAAGCAGTCTCAGCCCTCCCCTTTCATCCCCCCTGCAGCAAACCTTCGAGGCCCACCCGGACGAGGAAGCCAGCGTGACGCACATGATCAAGGCAGGCAGCGGCGTCTGGATGGCCTTCTCCTCCGGCTCCTCCATTCGCCTCTTTCACACCGAGACCCTGGAGCACCTGCAGGAGATTAACATAGCAACACGGACCACCTTCGTCCTGCCAGGTAGGGCGAGGCGGGGCTGTTTGGGAGGGGGCAGCCCACTGAGGCTCAGCCCCATGGTCAGGGGGGTGTGCTGGAGGCTGTTCCTGTGCATGGGGTGCTAGAGAGGCCAGGGGTAGTGTATTTCTGTGGAAGGCACGTGACCCTTTGGGAAGCTGTACGTCGTCTTAGCAAAGGGCTGTGTCCGTAACGGTTGCTGGGCCAACTGTTCTCGCAGGGGGGAGGGGATGACCATCTCCAGCCTCTGCATCCCAGAGCGCAGGCTGTGGGGTCCATGGGGAAGTTGTCTGGGGTGAGGCAGGCTGCATTTGCCCCAATGGGATCCAGCCGCAGGACCGTAGCCGGGGTCAGGCCTGGCTTCGTGGCAGCCATGGAGTGGACGGGACTGTGGGGAGATGCCATGGGGAGCAGGTGAGCTTGCTGGAGGTCTGCAATGCCACACTTTGGAGAAAGACCCCTTCCTCCTCCTCCTCCCCTGCCTCCCGCCAACCAGGGAAGCAAATCAGCCTGGAGACTGTGCCAAGAACCTGTTCTCCCCGGCCTCAGTCCGGCAGTCGAGTGTCTGCAGTGTTGCTGCGTTCATTCTCGCTGGAGAGAGCACTTCCTGCCTACAAGCAGCAGGGGGCGCCGTACTGAGTGGGCTGGCCGGATTTTTCTCTCGGCTTCCGATCCTGCTTTCTCTCCCTCGCTTATGGCCAGCACCCCTGGCCCGACAGGAACGCCCCGGTTTGTTGCTGTGCTGTGCCTCATCCCCGATCCTCCTGCTCGCTGTGTAGGGGCTTGACACACAGTTGAGCCATTCTGATATTCACCACTAGGGAGCAGTCATGCGCCTGCCGTGGGCACTTGACTGCACTTTCGAACCTTTTCGCTTTCAGCCTCCTCCCCGCCGTCCCATGGTTTACAGGTTCCGTGCCCAGTCCAGACTCTCCCCTGTCCTGTTCCCTGCGTGAGCGAATGCTGCATCGTACAGACGGCCAGAAGTGGGCTCTGAAGCCGGGCCTGGGTATCTTACCAGTGTGGTGGAAGGGAGGTTTCCTTCTCCACCCCCATGTCCCACCCAGGCTAGAACCACCACACACATCGGAAACAAGGCAGATGTTGCCTGAGGACCAGCCTGCCAGCAGTTTCTTCAGGCGTATAAGAACATAAGAACGACCATGCTGGGTCGGACCAAAGGTCCATCCAGCCCAGTATCCTGTCTGCCAGCAGTGGCCAGTGCCAAGTGCCCCTGAGGGAGTGAATCAAACAGGTAATGAGCAAGCGATCTCTCTCCTGCCATCCATCTCCACCCTCGGACGAACAGAGGCCAGGGACACCATTCCTTACCCATCCCGGCTAATAGCCATTAATGGACTTAACCGCCATGAATTTATCTAGTTCTCTTTTAAACCCTGTTAAAGTCCTAGCCTTCACAACCTCCTCAGGCAAGGAGTTCCACAGGTTGACTGTGTGAAGAAGAACTTCCTTTTATTTGTTTAAAACCCGCTGCCCGTTAATTTCATTTGGTGGCCCCTAGTTCTTATATTATGGGAACAAGTCAATAACTTTTCCTTATTCACTTTCTCCACCCCACTCATGATTTTACAGACCTCTCTCCTGTCCCCCCTTAGTCTCCTCTTTTCCAAGCTGAAAAGTCCCAGTTTCTTTGATCTCTCCTCATACGGGACCTGTGACAGGTGGGCAGGAGGTGACGATCTGCAGAGAAGCGACTCCCCCCTCTCCCCCCCAACCTTTTCCAGCTGTCCCATCCATGCAGGACACACAGAGCAGACGAGCCAAACGACCCCTTGCATTCAGGGGGCAGAGTCTCTGGCCTGGG